CAGGGATAGGCAAAATAGAAAACTTTCCCGCCTTATCGCGGAACTCTGTCCATTAAGAAAACTATATCAGAAAATGTGATTGAATCATTCATTTCCAACCCAGAAAAATGGATTGATGTGCATAACGCTTAACGGATCATTTCAATAGGCCTTCAGCCACACTTCGTTTACCCACGATCTCCTGAATGGCAAATCGAAGTAAGTCCTCCAACTCTAAATGTATATGGAAAAGCTATAGGACATCTAGAGCGAGGGAGAGGAGCTGGTCCTGATAGATTGACTCCAGAGATTTTAGAGGATAGTCATCTAAGTTAAGCAGTAAGATTGACCGAAGTCTTAGATAAAATATAGGAACTAGGCGTAATCCAATCTGGCTAGTCTCAGTCAATTAAAAGGTGTACCAAAGAAGTACGTTAACCCTATACAAGCCCTCTACTCGAACACTACTGGTCGAGTGAGAGCTTATAGCGAACTGTCATCGGAATTGACTACTTCGAGTGATGTCCGTCAGGGTTGTCCACTTTATCCATTCTTGTTTAACTTCGGCATAGACATGCTTTTAAAGTTAACATTATCTTCGACTGACTTTTCAGAAGTACACCTTCTACCAGGAGATTCACTTGTAGACTGAGAATATGCCGATGACATAGTTTTATTTGGTCAAGACTCTGACAAAATGTAATCTTTTGACTACCCTAAGCAACAATGCAAGCATGTTCGGAATGCGGTTTTCCTCCTCGAAATGCAAAATGTTGCTTCAGGATTGGGTTGCATCGGTACCTGAACTAGTGATAGGGAGTGAAGGTGGTAGCACATGTCGACCGCTTCACTTATTTCGGGAGTCTAGTCAATGCCGATGACCTAAACATGGCACAAATCCATGCAGTCACTGACAAATGAATTGCATCATGTTGGTCAGTGTAGACTACCTGGTTGGTGCCAGTATGCTGATAGTAACCGATTTTTAGAGACCTAGAACGACTTGTTTCGAAACCGTGTCAAATGGCGCAGATGCATCCACTCTTTGTGTTCTCTCGATTTCTTTTCTTCTGAATTCCTCATCACCTCTCTCTTTCTAAATTTATCGCGCTGAATTATACTTCTGGTGTTATATCTTCGAACCCTAATCTTCTCTGTAATCTCCAATACTTCCACTGTCTCCATCATTATGTTGTTTGAACTGGCAATTGCGTCGCTGTGCTAATATGGTATGGCAACCTGAATTATGTATGTAGGTAAAATGTTCACTTTTGAATCTGATAGACCAATGACAACCAGTTCCCATTCCCCTATATCACTTCGAATTAAACTTTTTAATTTTAAAGACGCCTTCATATGAATAAGGATTAATTTTTATGACTGTATCCCTGGTATGGGAATAATCGACTCAAAAAATCAGTATACAGCCTAAAACCATTAGAATCCAACCCTTTTAGCACCTCTTTCTCAGATAACGATTGACATAATTGAACATTCGTGATCACACAGAATGATGTATAAAGTTATAATTTACTCTCGCAGTTCGCTCCGAAACTGAAAGGTCTAGGTTCACATGCGTTCCACCCATTCCAAGTCATAAAACGATAATTCTGGGAGAGAAGGGTTCTATATTTAATCAGAAGGGGGAATTCAGACAATTACCAAAACAATATTACACCTTCGAATTTCCAATTACCACAATAGGTTCCGTTAGAATAAGTACTTTCAGTCAGTTACTTTTAGAGTATCAAATCCAAATATGGCTGTAGCCATATAAAGTATCAAATTTAAACAACACATATATAGTTCAGAAAAAAACATGGAAACTTCAATGTAAATCCAAGATATAGAAATAATAACAAGATACAACGACTAAATCTCAAATGGGATCAAATAAAGTACCAAAATATCGAACAGAAGAGTCAGTCATATCATAACACAAATATATATATATATATATATATATATATATATATATATGGAGGGATTTTCCAAAAACAAAGCCTTCAAAATAGATTCTACATGATGTATATTCATCCTTTTGAATATTCATGGGTGATTCCTGAAGTTGAAAATTGCTATAAAAGAATATAGTATACCTGGAATCGGTGTTGAAGCTGTAGTGGAAAGCTCCTATGAAGAAAATACGATTTGTAAAAAATAAACATTATTGTACTTGTTATTTAACTGTACCAAAAACACTTCTTTCACTTCTTTCGCGCAACGTTCTATTTGCGTTGTTGCCATTTTTCTGAATGCCCTTTTCCCCATGTAATGCCAACGTTCTCCTTCATTAAAATACTCAACCACGGGTTTGTTTTGATTTGAATGACGGGACCGTATGGAGCGTTTATTGGTGATCATAGTCAATCTGGTTTTTTGACTCGCTCACTACAAAGCAGTCTACGAATATGTGAGTAGTGTCATATATTTAGGCTACCGTATGAAAGTTCAAGTTTTCGATCTTCTAAGACATAACTGAGGATAGATTCATCCTAAAAATTCACATAGTAGTTAAGATCGTATTAGATCATTTCAGAAATGCCCAGAGGATTATGACTTTCATTCTACTCACAACACTAACAACACGTATGGATGCTGTTAGTTAAATTGTTCCCTTGACAAAGTGCACATATGCGAAATATCTTTTCAGTTACGTTTTATGTACTGTGGGTTAATATATAAAGAGACTGAGGACTGAATGCTTCATGCTTTTCACTACTACTAAACTAACGACATCTTTTCTCGGACGAAGCAGAGCATGTTAAAGAGTTTCGAAATCAACGAATCATTTAACCGTTATTATAGGCGTATTTTTTAATGTTTTTTATTGAACTAAAACGCTTATTTCCATGTTCTTATTAGCCTATAATACTGTGTAAGTAAGCCGTTCTTGTTACAGATATTAGTCGTTAATGTCATCAAAATTTCAAAAGTATAGTATTATTCTCCCTACTCAAGTAAGGAGGTTCCAAGAATACGAGATTATCAAGCAAAGTAAATCAGGTTATGAGAGTGATAGTGATAACAGCGAGTGTATACAATATATTCACTGATTTCATGTAAATGCATGAAATATCTAGTCAGTTTCCTTTTATCCATCAGCAGCGAGACGGACGAATTGTGCGTTTCACCAAGTTGCCAAAATATGTGATAAACTACATGTTTATTTGCTTGGGATGGGATATTTGCAAAATGAGTGACTGATAGTAGTACAAACGCTAAACTTCAAAGAGAGACATAAAAAATCTACATATAATAAATTAATGACTTCGGTTTCATTATTCTACACATCGCTCTCCAAAATAGCCTTACTTTCCCAACTATAATTGAATGCTTTTTAATCCATATTTCATAACTTTCTAGATCTCAGGAGAATATGATGTTCATGCGAACCATCAGTTTCAATCCAAGATGTTTGCTTTGGTTGTTTCAGTTTAACTCTCTATCGAACATACTGGGTTACGGAGCTCCAACCAGATGTAGACCTATCGAATTCCGTTCGTGAATAGTTTTATGACACGTTAATAACCAGGTTATAAGTAATTCGTTCTGGGCTTCTGGATGCTTTGGAATTTCATCTTAAATTCTGTACCTTGGAAGATAAGATCAAATGCAAATGTGTCTGTAAACAGAGGATCAGCAGATAGATCGTTACGGATTTGTAGGTGAAAAATTGTAGTGGCAAATGTATCACTAGTTTCGTGACGGTTAATATTCAACGTGTTCTTTAGCTTCGTAATACGCTCGTCTAGGCAAATGTCACCAAATAGCGCCTGGTTGTTATAAATCAGAATGCAAATAAGAAGTGTTGAATGCGTTTATTTTTAGCACACTCCAAATGGACCATCAGATCACTAGCAGGCAAGGCAGGCACACCCAGCGAGCGAAGTGGCGAATGGACGAATGAATTAACAAGGTTCAAATGTTCATATATATCCATAACAAAATGTCTGAGTCATCGAGATATTTGAGGTTGATATTAAAGCGGAAAGGATGAGTAACCGCGAGGGTATAAGCAATGCTCAGCCGTATCAACCCATACAAACCAGACAATACAAGAGCCGTTTAAGTTTTTGCTATACAAATAGATTGGTTAAATACGGTAATCGAAAGGCTTAACCAAATGAAAAATAAGCCAACACAAATTTATATGGAGGCACTACAAATTATTCAGTTCCGTTCCCAGTATCAACGTCAGCACTGGTGTTGAGGTAGATGGAATCGAAGAGTTCAAATATGTATGGAATGGGCATAATTGATCCAACTCCTGACCACAGTCCGATTATTTTACAACGCGTGTGAAATATAAATATACTGATGAAAGCAGCAAAAAAGTGATTGTGCTAAAAAATCTTGGAGAATAATTTTCAAGAATACTGATATTCCAGACATTTTTTTAAACGACATAAATCGAGCATTTTGTTGTGTACCATTTTAAGAAATTTCCAAACTTCGGATTCTCTCCTAGTCGAGGTGAGTTCAGCATTCTCAGATTCAAGAGGAGACTTAACAAAGACGTACTCACAAGTCGTTATTATTGCCATTTCCTTAGATCATTAATTTAATATATCTTGCTTATCATCTCTGTTTCCTCTTTTTCGCTTATGTTTCTGGCATCTCACACTTTCTTCACTACCAATAAATTAACTTACTTATTTCCACACATAGATCTGAAATCTTCTATTCATTTGCATTAGGGTTTTATCTTTATTATCTTCCGAATCTCAAGTAACTGATCTCCGGCCTCATGATGTGATAGCAAATCGTATCAAGAAACTCTACTGCCCTGACATAAGCGCGCTCGCACAAATCACTGGAATTACAATTGTATAGATGTAGTGTAATGTTTATAATTTTGCTAAACGGACTTTAATAAATACCCTAAACTGTATCAAAATAACAAGAAGCTACCACAAAGAAATCATTTTGTTTGAAGTAGCATGTGAAACGATATTGGATATTGGATATTACTATAACAACCGAGTGGGTACGGGTACGAAAATTTAGGGTCACTGAAAATGTTGAACGGACTTGATTTGCCGATTGACACTAAAGAAGCAGCAGCAATTGAGTCCAGAAGAAGAAAAGAAAAAGAGCGTCAAGTGCGTATTTTTGACGCCCGTACTCGCCAAATCGGGGTAAGTGGTGATGTTTCATTGACAACATCAATTGATTTGAAATGTATGATAGATCGATGAAGAAGCTCTCAAAAACCAAGTGGAGGAGAGAAAAAAACAAGAAGAGCAGGAAAAACAACGTGATTTGGCATACGGTAAACTTCTGACTGTTTGATTATTTAATGTTTAGCTGCTGATGCTGAGCGCAACGACAAAATCGCTTGCCTTTATGAGAAACGACAACAGGATGATGAAAGAGAACTTGCAAAAAATCTTAATGAGTTCAGATTTCTCCATCAACAGCCTGAGTCAAGAAGAGAATTCGACTTATATGATCCAAATGCATTAAAATTCGACTGCCCCGCTCGTGTTTCTGATGATGACCCTCGATGTGGAGTTGCTTCTCTTCAGAAGTTCGATGGTGAGGACTTGAATTCAAAGGCTAGGACAACGTATCAACGAGAACAGCTGCAAAACTGGTTTGAAAGACAAATAGAAGAGAAGAATAGGGCTGAAAATGCTAAGAAGGAAGCAGACAGGTAAGTATAAACATAAATAACTTTCACTGTTGATTGGCTTGCAATATATTTTAAGTAAGGTTGCAAAAACCTGAATTATTTCGGTTTTATTATGTCTGTGTGCAAGTAGCATTTGTAGAGCTGCTTTAGTTTTTAAATTGAGTAGTTTATTTTACTTGTATGAATTTTGTTAATGCATGTTTATGAACCATATAACTGCATAACTGATAAAAACTACTGTCCAGCCGACAACATTTTTCTATGAACTGCGATATTCTAGCAGTATCAGCACGACGCAAAAATAATGAATTAAACCGAAATAATTCTAGTCATTTTAGACAATCCAGTCTGAACTGAGTGTTTTAGATTCAGTTAATTAGCAATAAACCTCAATATACATTCCTTTTTTCTGATGTTATATTTCGGTGTCAAAAATTATGAAACTTCTGATTCATAATGTTTCACAAAACCTCCGGAAATTTTGTCTTGAAGTTTGCTATCTAGGAGCAGCTCAGTTGTTTCCACTTTTAGTTATTTATAAGTTTGCACTTAGTAACGAAAAATGCCTTCTTCCCATTAATCTCAGGATAATTTGAATGAGGTTGAGAAATGGATAGCATTATTCGGTCCATCAGGTCTTCACGTTTGCAAAGAGCTTTTTTCAAAGTTTCATAAGATTCGGAAACGTTGTCAGTAAATAAAAGGTGTAACCTAACTGTTGAACCCACTTAATGGTGTTTTCATTTCTGCAAGGAATCTTGAAGGGGTTCTGCTGAATATAACCATGCATTTGTAATGTCGCGAGTCGAGATTGACTACAGAATAATTATTTGCTCACCACAGGGAAAAACGTTGATCCATACAGGAGAATATATTTGATGGCGATTTCGTGGTATCGAAAGAATACCGAAATGATGTCAGAAAATAGGAGCGAAAATAGAGAGACAATGGAGCCACAATGACAGTGACACAAACGGGAAGTTTGCACTACAGATTAGAATAAACAAAAAGTGCAGTGAAACAATCACTGGTGCAGTCGGTTATAACAATGAATGTTTCTATCAAATCTCTCTCGTTCTCTTCATAAAAGTACATCACTACACATTCACACTGTCATGTCGAAATTACATTAGTCACAAGTTTGTCTGTGTAAGGGTTTCAAAATTGAACAGTCTAGTTGTGCAATCTAACGTGGCAGGCATATAATTTATAATCATGCAAAACATCTGATAACTCTAAAATATTATCACTATGTAAAAGTATATAGGTACATTCAAACAACGAAAAAACTCTTACTATCGTTTAGTGTACCAGATCACATCTCCCTTATTTACTTAATATGTTACGGTCTTCTACGCTTTTGTCTGTAACGCCTTTATAACCGAAGATCCCAAACCCGGTCAAGTTAGGAGTTAAAAATGAAGGAGTTTTAAGATATATCCAAAAGACAAGTATCATGTCGAGAACTGTAGAATCTAGACTGGTTAGTTGTTGGGTTGAATACGCAGTGTAATATACTCGATGGTTATCTGATGGGGATGCACAAATAAGCGCCTGCACAACTATTTATTGTAGGTACTTGTTTGTCGCTATACATTTATGTAACGTATTGAAAACATATTTCCTATCAAGATTAGACTAGAGTGATCCTAAAGCTTCGAGAAACAGGCAACCAAATCCTCAGTCTTCCAAAAATACGTACAACTTTATCCAACTTAATAAAATTTTCTAACGCTGGCATTAAAAAAAAAAGAATATATTCGCTTTACTTAACATCATTGATGACATAAAAATTGAATAATAACCCAGATAGCACTATTCGTGAATGCACATTTCAAAAGCAAAGCTAAACCATCAGTGCTTACGACTTTGCTACGCTCATACTGTGTGAAACAGGAATTTATAGTTCAACAGTTTATTATTTTAGGTGCTTAAAAACATCTAAAAACAGCATGAGTAATTAATTACTCACTTAATGATTCAGCTTATTTCGAGATACCTCAAAAATGGAACATTAGTCCCTATAAAACAGTCACATCATCTAATAGCCCTACTGGTTTCCAAAAGACTCCAGTGAGAAATCGTGAGTATAAAAGTTAATGGAAAACAAATGATTCGATTTCTTTCACCTTTAGTAGTGTTTTGCTGATTTAAGGTTTCGGAAAATCTTATTTTAAGTATGTCAAATTCACTTATTTTGTCTAATAACTATTAAGGTGACGATTCACTGCAGTATTCAAGTCATTTTAAATCTATTTGCTCTCAAGCCAAAAGGCAAAGCAAAATAATAAGTACTTTTTACTTTAGGATAACGAAACCCTAGTGATTCACAAAAATGTTTGAGGAAAAATCGCAAGTCTATAACAATCTTCTCACCTCCTTTTTTGGTTATTCTGAATATTCAAATACTTAGAATTCATGACGAATAGCACTTGCAAAAATTATGTGCATGATACAAATGTGAGCGCTGTCTTAAATTTTTGTGTTTTTTGGGCTAAGGCATAAAAGCAGGTAATATAAAACATTTTGTTTTTCAGTGCTATGAAGTTTAATAGATAATTCCACTTTCTTTAATCATGAGGGCGTCTGATAAGCAAGTCTTTATATTTATCAGTGGACCGTTAGATATATATGATGATTAAACGCAGATACTGGATGTTAACTTTCTACTAGTTTGTACACCATGAATTTAAAGTAAATATTCTTACAATATACCTTGTTTGACGTAGTAAATGTTACGAAAAAGTTATTAAATAAATGTTAATCTAAAGTTCATCGTTTCTATTTTTAATTAAGTGGCCAATACTATGAAATGTTTTGTTATAGTTCATCTTTTCGATTTCGCAAATGTATAGGTTATACGATTTAAAGAGGAGGGAATTAGACCAGCGAGCTTGTGAGCTTCAAAAAGCTGAGGAGCAATGTCGACGAGCGATAAATGTAGCCATGCAAAGATTTAACAAATTATTAAAAGAGGAAAGTGATCGGAAAGCTCTTCTTAAAGCTAAACAAACAGAAGATGAAAATATGACAGAGATATGCAATGCAATATATGGTGATTTTCTTAGTGAGAATCCTGCCCAATCAATGTCTGCTTTTGGAATTAATCGAATAATTCCTGACCGTTACAAAGGAATGACACCTGGGCAAATAGAAGATATTCGTAAAATACAGGAGGAGCAAATAAAAGAAAAAGAGGTACTAGATTCATTGACTGTTGTGTTTAGTTTAACACATTCCAAATTTGACCTGACGTTCATATGGGTTTCTGAATGAATCATTTAAAGAGTTTTTGTAGTTATAATCATTGATAATGTACGTTTATTCAACTGAAGATAGTAAAAGTGGCTTAATTTAATGTTCTATGCAGTGCACTTGACGACCAGATTATTTTTATAGTAAAAATAAATAAAAGTGTCAAGTAATGTATCTGAAAAAGTTCCGTTCGTGTTGTTCTCAAAATAATTTCATCAAATCAAGTATATTTTAGTCTTTCGACCTGCAAATACCCTAATAAAATTAGCTGTCTGTTAATGTTAATGTAAGTAACATAAACGACTGATAATTACTACATTTTTAATCTGTTTTATTCACCTAACAGATTAATAGTCAGATAACCAACTAAGTCAGCATGCTTATTAACAAGAAAATCATTTGTTAACTTATCATTCTGATAAACACCGGAAAGTGATGATGAAAAATAACTCAATATGAGTTTTCAAGATTATCCGTTAATTTAAACAGTGATCATATCGAAATAAACAAGAACAAACCTTGTTTGTTATTTTGTTGATTGGTCAACTATTTCTTACTTTAAAATCATTACACTTAGGAGCTGTTCCAAAATTGAGTATTCACGTGAAACGGCTTCACCGTTGCCTGAAAGTCATCAACTTTAAAACAGGTTGTTGTTGGTCAACAGTATTGATTAGACTAATTCAACATTTAATGCAAATCTAATTTATTCGTTAATTTGTTTAATACAGCGTGAATTAGCAAAACAAAAACAAGAGGATGAAGAATGGGATAATCAAATGTTGAAATCGGCCAGAATAGGTTTGTTGATGGAAAGAGAAGTTGAACGCTCTGCACGTGAAATGAATCGAAAAGTGGCTGAAAAAAATCTTGAACTGGCTCATGAACAGAAAGCTTTTCAAGAATATTTGAACAAAGAAGTAAGTTACAAAGTATTTTTACAATGAGCTTAGGATTATCTTATCTTTGCTTTAGAGTTATAAAACTGATATGATTATTTTCATCTCATGTTGCTTGAGTTGCTACTAGCAGCATTTATGATTCGTTTTTGGTCATGAATATGGTTGTACGCTGACAAGGAAGTTCGACTAATCAAATAACCAAATGGCATTAGTTAGTGAGATGACTGACTACCAGTCTGAGCCGTAACATGAAATAGAGACTTGTTTGTTTAGTCTCACCAGGTATTCCTGTTCTTTGATCATAGACCTAATGTTGCACAGTTACTAGAACAATTGTTCTATCATTATTTTCTTTAGACTTTTATGTTTTACTATTATTTCATCTTAATCGATTTTGAATTCTCTTATGACATGAATTATCTTCCCTACGTCGGGTCTTTCTACAACCGTTATGATAATAATAATATTTATTATTGTTATTTTAACTCGTTTCAATACTTGCTCAATACTTTGAATTAAATAAAGTTAGACATTAACTCTGTTGGACGCCGGCCTAGTGCTTTATCGATTAGGCATTCGTGCATGAAATCGAAGGCCCTGGGTTCGATTCGCATTTGCGTGGTCATGGATACGCACTACTGATGAGTCCCATATGATAATGAATCGGCCGTGCTTACAGTGCATCCAGGTTTCTAATGGTGGTCTAACAATGATCGATTCATGATTTCAATGAAACCCAACAATTTCCATAACCTTATGATGGAAATTGTCTATTTGGTAAATAAAGAAAACAAAAAGCTGTGACAGCGTGATGACAAGTCAATCATAATCATGAGAATTGATAGAAGATAATAATGATTGACAGCGCTTTAAATTACAAATAATAACAACAACAAAATCAGAAACATACACGAGCAAGAAATTAGGGTTAGATAAGGATCAGAGTTTGGACATATCATTTCTGAACTTACAGTTTGTGCTTGAATTGGCGCATTGCCAACGCTTCAGAAGTACATAAGTTTTTAATCCACACTTTTTTCGACCCAACTCTTTTAACTGTATGTATTACTTTAAATGACAAGTCCTTGAAAGCAACATGTCCTTAGTTGATCAGATGCTCCTGTATTGAGCTAGTAATTACTTTGTACTCCCCTCTTAAAAACCACTCCAGGTAATGTTCTGGAATGTGTTTTACAAGTAATCACTTTGTGCGGCCCACGTAAACTACCCCACCTGAAGCAAGTAAGTTTAAATATGCAAATCGATGTGGTCCAAATAAGAAGCTTGTCGTTAACGCATCGATTAAAAAAGCAGGTCTCCTTGAGAAGAATACGAAGTTCAGCTGAAAAGATGATTTTATTTAGAGGTTTTTAAATCCGTTTATTCAAATTACAACAGACAAAGAAACAACAGTACAAAAGAAAAAGCTATAAATATCGAATTTGAAGGAGATATAACTTCTGTTTTCTGACGTCAAGATATTTCAAAATATTAGGGTTCTTTGTTTGTCCCGACACGTCAATTATGTCTGTCAATCGAATAATCTATTCAGCTGCGCATGTAAAAAAGTTTACGACCTATCGCTTCAGAAGGTACAAAAAATTACAATCCGAGGCATCATGAAGGCTGGCAATATGCATTGAAAAGGAAATCTGTTGAAATAATCCACAATAAGAATTCCATGTTGTACTAAGCATACAGTAATGAATAAATCCATTATTATTGACATGATAACTTTCTAAAAATAAAATCGGAAAGATAAACACCAAAAAACCATATAACTAACAATTTTTTCATGTTTTCACATTCGTCATTTTCACATTGAACCAAAAACTACACTTTATTGTTGAAACTAAAGATTAAGTAAATATTCACTTATCATATCCAATCTGTCAAGATAATTTTAACATTAATATGTAGTTTTTACTGATAAAAGAGTTTATTTGCATGATATAAAGAAACTGTTTAATTATAAAACTTTTCCACTTGTCTTATAATAACAGTAAAATAGGTGATCCATTCCATAGATAATGAATGATCATATTAAAACATGTTTCAGCATATTTCTTGTGTTGCTAGTATTTAGATCTCTATAAAAATCTTGTTATATGAGACATGTGATTTGAATAATTGTGGCTTTTTAAATTTCAAGAACTTCCACCTGAACACAGATATTTTCAAAAGGACAAAGTTGATTAGTTTTACAAAAAAAACCAACCAACTCTCTGCACATTTGGGTGTGGTCAGAAAAATGATTTATTACCGTTTTCATTTATATGACATAAAGTAATACTGGTATTAGATATACTTACAAGTTTAAGGAATAATTACTAAATACCTGTAAAATATCAAAATTTACACAACTAAAGCGCTTAATTTAAATTGTTTTCAACACACAGTCAATGTCATTGATGATTTGTTCATTGAATAACTAAGGTCATATTACTTAAGTTATCTACGGATAATTTTTAAGTAAACGAAATACACCTATTGAGACGTAAAAGAAGAAAGATTGGTTTAACGACGAATTCTGTTTTGGGTGAATTCATTTTCATAGCTGTACAATTACAAAGACATAGTTTTTTTCTAAAGTGGTGATAACCACAATTATAGTACTAATAAACTTTTGATAAACACATTAATAATCACGCAAATTAGATATAGGTTTGAAATTTATTTTGATTAAGTGAATTTAGATTAATATAGTTGTTGTTCAAGCCCTCAACAGTTAGCCAAAAAGGAGAACTCTTCACTGAACCAATCTTTATTGTTTTATCAATTAATAAAACAATTTATTTTCTACAAAATATATACATAACCTATTCAATAATATTTTTTTTAATTCAAAATAGTGAAAACATTACTCAATGTGTAACAATGTGCAAGAAAGCATTTGAAAGTTTTAATAAGCATAAATCAAATGCAAATTTTATTTTATAAACTTTCATTCATTCACTAAACCATGACTGACCACTAAATTGAACTTATTCAATTACTAGGTTTAAATAAATGTTGACTGATATTAAAATCTCTTACTATAACAATAACTATGTTCAATAAACACCTTTTCAACAAAAAAAAATATGTATTCCTCATGATAATTTCTTGGTTTTTTTTACTGAATAAATATGTAACAATTATTCTCTAGTGGCCAATATACTTGGTTGATGATCGTTCTTGATTTCCTTATTAGACGATGAATGACGAAAAAGCAACAAGGAGAATAAATAAGATGGAAACATTCTAGCTAAGTTCTATTCTTCAGATTAACTGTATTTTAAAAAGTGTTTTCAAGTGTTGGAAATATATTCATGAAAGAATATATTTAATAAAAGGATATTTATACAGATATACTGTTGATTACGTTATTCATTCACACCGCAATATTGAAATCTTCACAGCGATAAGTTAATTGCTTTGTGGATATTTTCAAGGTGACAATCACTTAATAACACAGAATGACCTCAGTCATCTATGTAAATTATTCGGTGTCAACTCTAGAATGTGAAATTATATAGCCAGAGTCAGAGGTTTGACTTTGTGTTGAACCGTAGAAGCGCGTTATTAACAGAGAGAAATAACTGTTAACTATTCCAAGGCTTTTTATTTCATATGATTACTTGATGGTTAATTAGCTTTTTGTAACACATGCTTTAATATTCATTGTGTAATTATGATCAAGTTTGCTCTAACCAAATTATTGGGTATATTCCCTATTTTTAATTGTAATAAATTTTCAGCTGTATACAAACCAACCAACTGGCCATTATTTCACGCAATTCAATACAACATCACGTTGAGTACAGTGCAAATTCATCGATACAAAACTTGCATTCACTATTGATCAAAGATGAAACACGAAATTTTAAAAAGAATAACAAATTTTCAAGATTACATTCAAATAAGTTCAAGATTTTATTTTATCCTTCTCAAATAAGCAATAACATTAAACAATTATGATTAAAAATAAAAGATATCAGCAATAATATGCCTGAGTTATTCAAAAATGTCTAGGTCTAAGAGTAAATAGGAATTATTATACTGCTGTTACTATGATTACTGAATAAAGTAATCTGTTCAAAATTCAACATACTATAAATATCTACCTATTAAAATATTTCATTCTTCAATATCTTCACATTCAATTTATCTGTTTATCTTGTCTTTTTCTAGTTTTTATCAATTATGCTTACTGTACTTACCGATGTTTTTCCAGCTTATTCTTATGAGTATTTCCAGTATGCTATGAAGATTATTTTAAGCTCTAAATATAAATTTCATGTTGAGATACACCGTTTGTAAATTCTGATTTGCTTCTATTATTTGCATTATTGTCATAAAAAAAGGTAGGAATATTTATAGATATAAACGTGTTTACACCAGGCATTCAATCCAGTTCATGAATGAATCAGGTTGTTTGGAATTCTTCAAAGGAATCAAGTCAATCAACGTCAAATATCTATCTTCTAAGAAAATTATTTTTGATCATTCAACTAACAACAAATGGAAATTATATTATACTATTATACCATAGTTTGATAATTAATTACAACATGATGTTGCGATTTCTCCAAAATATGAAGTCGAAAACTAACATAGATATAACTTCAGTGAATACTTGCTTCACATAATCAGGTGCAATGAAAAGGTAGACCGATTGTTTATAAAACTACACCCTATTCAAATACGTTTTCCAAGTTAATTAATAAACCAGTTGCCTGTTTCTAAAAAGGTAACACAGATAACCGGAATTCTGCTCTATTTGATAATTATTTCCAGCCGGATCATTCAGTCTCTGTAATTAATATGCATCCGTTGGGTAACACAGAAATTAAATTAATCATGTACAATCTGTTAACATCTGTAAAATGAATAAGTTATGAATTTCACGGTAACCTGATTCTATTTGATTAAGTAAACGTTTTCAGTTGAATACAGATCAGAGTTGCTTCTTCACTTATATCAGAATATTACAGTCTGGCAATTGTGCTTTCTCGTGCGCTCATGAGATGCTATTCATTTACAGGTCTCGAATTGTCTAACCAACAAGTTTTGACATTGAAACGATCATAACCTTAGGTACGAATAAATGCAGTATGCAACCCACTGAAAAATGATGTATCAGATCAATGGTAGTGGTTACAAGGGGAAGACAGTTAGTTATGACAGATCTTTCGCTTGAAACAGAAAAATGGTTAAGCAAACAATTCTCTTTTTTTTTAGTGCATCCGGAATGCTGCCTGATTAAAATTACTATAACGTTATGTTAAAGCTTTAAGAGTGGAACAATTCTTTTTCATATCACTAATTAACGCCAATATTGTGATTGGTGTGACGTGATAGTTTGTTGAAGCTTCTGAGAATGTCACTATTTGATACCTTTAATTGATGTTCCTTCACATCCTCTTAAATTTGCCTATATTGGCCTTATTGAACTATATGAACAAATCAGCATTTTTATTTCACAGTCAAAAGATTTATTTCGTATGAATGTAAAAGATATTTATTTTACTTGTAATGTATTATGCCAATAATCTGATGAAGAGTAACCACCTCTTGGACTGTTAATGTATAGCTGTTATTTCGCATTTGTTTGTGTGATCTGGTCATGTATGCCTGTATATAAACTATGTATGTCTGAAATATATGATTCTATTCAGTTCGCTTGGTGAGGGCTGTTTGTGAAATGCCGAACTCAGCATTCCAGGCAGAGGGAGAATTCTGCCTGTCACGTGATAGTAGAGAACAGTTACAGATATAACAGGGTCCGAGTACAAGTTCGGAAAAATATGTTAAGACGTCATTTATTACAAAATGTCATATTTCAGTTAAGACTAAATAGTCTTACACTAAACCCACAACATTTGAAGTTTTTTTACAGAAATTGCTTAATCAGGAATTTTTATGTCCCAATAAGAAAGGAACGATAACGAGTCTTTCGATTGCAACTTTAACCTTGAATCGATTGAACTAATAATTCACACTTACAACGATGGATACGCACTAATACTGTATGAAGCGAAACAATATGATTGGTTCCAGTTGCCAGAGCATGTTTTTCAATCAATCACAATGTCAGGCAATAACAACTAATCTGTGACTAGAGAATTATTACTACAAAAAAATAAATGAATGATCTACTGAAATTACTCCAACAATAAAGTAATATGTTCCAGAGCAATCCAAAGTAATGAAAGGAGAGGAATATAACAAATTTGAGTTATCACTCCTCGTTAGTGATACAAATTTATTTAAGAGAAGTAGTATTTTCACTGAGACTACTGACAACCTTTAATTGAGCTTTGGTCCTAGATTTAGATCAACCACTAATGAAGAGCTTAGCTTTCAATTATCTAGAATTAAGTGGTTTAAAGTGTAAATCATACTAATATTTATTTCAGCGGCAAAGGTAAATATGATACATTTTTATTGGTAAATCTTTAAAGATCAATAAGTTCGTATAGACAGATACTAAAGGTTCGAGGATTTCACTGCATTTTATGTTTTATTAGGTACTGTATGGAATATTTTAGTGAACGAAAGTCAAAGGACATTATGATGATACTAATCATTATCTATCTTAGCGTTAATCACAAATTATTCAGGACTTAATTAAACAATTCGTATAAGACTATAAGACCGAGAGTGAGGGTTCACTGATTTTAAAATCAAGAAAAACCTCTCGCGTAATCGCTGGTTTAAACAAAGTGTAAGACCTAACAATCTTCACCACCTCGTAATGAAAATGTTCTTTATACCATGTTGTACTACTAACAAATAATCAGTAGTTTGAGTTTTATTCCTCCATTTACCTATCCATATTACTCTTAGGCATGACATCTTGTTGTGATTTACACTAGTCTCATGCGTTTTGTGGTTTCAGTTTTGTATTTTAAGAAGTTTTTCTGCCCATAGTTGTTTATTATTTCCTTTAATCCAGTTTAAAAAATTTGTTTTTCCAATACAGGACCATAAATTCTTGTCAATCTCTGATCTACCCTTCTAACACAAACACATGCTGTCTTCTGGTTTATAGTATACCTTGTCAATTCACTACTTACTTTTTGAGCGTACATTTGGATGCGCTACTGGAACAGAAATACGTCACTGTTAGATTATGCAGATTCTTAATATTTAAGTTGTTTTCCATACTGGTAAAGTATTTACAGCCATGTCTCAACTTAAGGTTACAGAACTGGAAACTATCGAGATGAACAAAATTCCAACATATTCTGGGTACCGTTTTTCATAAGCAAACGGCTCCTTTATGCAGTACTGTTTCATAATGAACTCGAAACACTGGAAAAACCGATAAGCGACCTTCAAATCTATTATCCGTCACCCGAATAAATCTGCATCCAAGTGTGTTATTAAATACAAACACCTGAAACCAGAAAAAGTAGTTTCAATTTGAATCCAATGGAGTAGTAGGACGCAAAAGTTGTCATGCAACTACTGTTGTGAATTAATTATTCTTTTGTCAAAACATAGAGTTCTTATACAAATATTATAAATTCCACATGATATAATCGTGAGTGTAGTTCATTTATTAGAGAATAAATCATTTAAATAGAAACATAATATTCAGACATATAATTTTGGTCAACCAACAGCTTTTCAGTTAAATATATGCTATGAGACCGTTTGCTGTGTATGAACTCAGCAACGCTAAACATATACTGACTCATTTACAAATTAGTTGAAAGTATTTCGAAGCACTAAGCTAAATTATACAATAGTCTAAAAGATAATGTGAAAATGTAAGGTGAAAATAGAGAGAAGAAGCAAGATAGTTTTTCACACGAATCAATACCTTTAATGTGAAAAGAATCAGAGATTGTAATACCTAAAATTAGAAGTGATTTATAATCATCAAACCTAAATGTTCGATCAGCAATATCATTTGTTACCATTCAGATCTCGTATGAAATGGTGAATTATCAGAGCTTCTCTGTTTCGCAGATCTCTTTCTGAGTTAGATTGTTCAACTTTATTTATAATTTTAAAGGCTACTTCTGGTGGATCTACATGATTGCAATTGAATAGGTATTCAAGAAGGGGATTGTTGATTGTTTCACATTTCCTTTTGTATAACCATCTAGAGTAATGCTCAGAAACACGTTTGGAGAGAAGAAGTATTGTTCATTCAACATAACCCACTCTAGGAAAGCAAGAAAATTGAACTAGATGAAAACAGCCGTTTATCATTAAGACATCCTCGAATCGATTGTCCACTGACGAGGAGCTACAGAGAACAGAATGTCTTTCTTAATGATATTAAAAACTAATTTTGAAAATTGCTCCCATAAATTCGTCTACATATTCAAAGTTTATAAGTATGGTTATCCTCGGTACTATATGTGTTTGTTCAATTTGTTATCCGAATTTAAGAATTATTCTAGTGAACTTGAGAATATAGCTACTTTTCATAATCATTCTCCGGACTTTTTAAAATTTTTCAATATCTGTATCCTCGGCACAAATTCGCCAGGCCGTAAAGGATAGATGGTGAGTTGAGCTTTTTTGATGGTTGATAAATATTCAACTTTCAAAATTCTTTCACTGTCTTTGTAGAAATACGTATGTATATATACCTCAAATATTTTGACAATCTGCAGCGCAAAGCCATAATCGGGTAGATGAAGGTGGTTTTCATGGTTTTTCTCTGACAAAACCATTATTGCTAATACAGCCATCCAATCAGAAGTAAACAAATGAGAAGCGCATTCGATTGCCATCGTCCTAAAGGACGAATGCACATGACTGATCAAGAAGTGAACTCACTTTCCGAGGTGTTGTA